ACATCACACATATGAACGTTTAATCTTCATTCGTCTTGATCTTTCCTCCTAATTACAATTAAATATTTCTGTTAACTATCCAATATAGCTAGACAAAAGTGTATAAGTTGTGACTGCACAGCTGTGAGAAGTGAAATCACTGAAAGAAATTTCTTCACTAAATCTATTGTTTTCGCTGACTTAAAACTAGCCATCAGTACATACATACATACATGTATATACACTTCAACCTTATTAGGTCCTCTGAGATATAATGTGAAAGATGTTCCAGTAATGGAATACCTTTGTTCTTCTGAAGTACAGGTACCATTTTCAAAAGATCATAAGAATTGCTTTGACAGAAAGAGGAGTCTCATTTTCAGTAAGCCTTTCACAATGAGAATTCCATTTGTCATCTGACTACTTAAAAGTACCATTCCTTACACACAATGGTACATATAAAAGGTCAGATGAATGCTTTAAAGTGCATATATTGGACACATCGACGCGCAGTTCCAGTGAATAACCTTCTTCAGATGATACCTCCGCCTACTTTTGCTTAGTTTAGTGTGCACATTATTACATTTCAGAGGAAAGATTTCGTCAACCAATATGAAAATTAGAAGTAGATATGTTGTTTTCATAATCAGAATGAACAGAAAGTCCTCTCCGTTTCGGCTATGAGAAACCAGTTTAGATGAAGCAGAATTGTGCATTAGTGTACATGCTATTTCATAACTTGATTGTATTAATTAAAAAGCTTACACGTTTAATATACTTGGTTTAAGGTGGTTGTTGAGACTGAGAACACAATTTTCATTTGTCCTCAAAATAAAATATGATGGTATTGAGAAGCCAAACAATTGCTCCTTCTCATAATATACAAAATATATAACATATTATACATATATATTTAAAATATACAAAAGTTATGGAAGCGGTTCATGTGTTTTCCTGCATCAGAATCTTTGAAGAAGGGTGTCGAAATCTTTCACACCTATATTTCAGTGATAAATTTACTTGTATAACATGATATAACTGCCAATCAAGTTATTTATTAGCTTACCCTTGTTGCGATAACCATAACCAGGACAATTGCTGGAAAGAATAATGTAGAATACAAGTAGACAACTGAATGCTTTCATACGTAATTCTACACTATAGAGGTTATTACGTGAAGTGTATTTTGCATATTTATATGAGCTTTTGCACCAACAGTGCAACAAACTGATGCACTTTCGATTTCCATCATCATTACAAATATTGTCATTATTGTTTTGGCTACTTATTCACAGAATATTCGTAATCTTCAGTTTTAAACAAATCATGGAATTACTTTTGACTGACTCAGCCAATCAACAAATCTGTTTGAAGCATCCAAAATGAAATGCACTCATTCTAAACTAAGCTTGGTAGGGGTTGTGAATGGCAGTGAACTTATTCATGCATTTTATTGCTTGCACTCAGACGTGTTACGCAATCCACTACTCATATGTTTGGTAAGTAGTAGTTTGCTTTCAACCGACTCAACTGTGGTATGTCAGTTTGACGCCATTGCAGTAAGGAGAATTCAGGTAGATTGGGGAATTTACAAAATAGTGTTTAATCACCGTTCATTGAACTGTCTGTGTTTGAAAAATTAAGGTCTACAATTTGTTAAGAGACGAGCCTTTTCCTGCTTGTTTAGCCCATTTCATCGATCTCCATATTTTTCCATCTGTCAATATTACGTAAATGTTTACTATAAACACGCATCCACTTGCTCCAAGTTCCTTACTTTTCACGGTAGTTGTTATGCAGTCAGCGAATCAAGTGAACTGAATCCATAGTGAAAAAATAAAAGCCTGTAATTTACATCACTCAAATCTTAGTAGTTTTTTTCAATAAAAGTGCCTAACAAGATTATTTTACTAAACTGAACACAGAAACTTTGGAATTAGGCAGTTAGCGGCAGATACCATCTGATAAATAGACCCTTATGACTTGCTTACCATTACTCAATATGGAAGCTTTAGCGCATAAACATTTTAGACGCGTTGTAGGTTATAAGCAGATAGATTTTTCTGCATACGCAAGATGTTCCCATATGGTTATAGTTGAGAAATGAAAGTTCAGTGTGTGAAATAGGTGACAGATTCTTGATTTAACCTCAATAGTATTTTAATTATTTGCTTTCTAATCGTAACCTTCGTGTATGATATTGATGAATTCTACGGAATCGTATTGCATTCAGCTGTCATGAAAGCTTAAGTGATGACTACATTGCTTAATAATTGTTAATAATCATCTGTGATTCACTCCATCTTCAATTGCCTAGTTGTATTTCTTTGCCAATGTCAAATGTCTCGACGCAATTCATTCATATATCTTGACCTTTCGAAACGGAAGTCTGAAGAATTCATTGTTAAGACGTTAAGCATGTACAAATTGATATTCCCCGAGTCATGCTAACAACTGCTGTTGTAACCAATCGATTTTCGCTATTTTGTCTGGGAAGGTGGTTATTCAGAAAGTGAAGAAATGTAAATGGTTATTTCAGAAGTTGTTGGAGTGCCCTCTAAATCTACTCATATTTCCTTTAAAGGAAGTAAATGACATACAGTTTTTCCTCTCCTCGTATACAGTAAATAGAATTACTTAGCCAGCAGCGAATAATGGAAGTAGTTTACAAAGCTATGAGGAATCACTTCATGTGGTTTTAAAACAACCACAGTAGTCCATGAATTCAACCTTTAAAATCTTCGTTGATTGGAACACACTTTTCGTGTCAACAGGAGATGTCGAAACACTTTGAGCTTGATATCTGCAGAAGAAAATGCAGTCAGACACACTGTCTTTAAGAAAGGGGAGATCCCCAGAAGTTTCCTTCACTTTCAAAATTTGATACCAAATCAGTTCCCAGTGGACTGAAAAGGTAAACAATTAAAAAATATAGTGCACGCAGAATCATTTGTAAAGAGTTCATTCAAATACTGGCAAAGAACTTGTCAAGGATATTCTTATCTTGAGACTCACTCATCCAATTCATCTTACAAATACCAAGTAACCGTAGGAATCTTGGATAAGCATATGCCCCTGGGGGAAAATGTAGTCTCGAGAAGTGTTGGACCGTCACGGTTACATTGTATTCCGTTCAATGTTACACCATTTTTACTCAGTGGAGAACAATGAAATCGTTCAATTCATTATTTTTCTGATAGCTGACATTGTCGATGTTATGGATTTGATTCAAGAGATGATTTGCATTGAACCTCAGTTTAATTTACTCTTCACTTACACTTAGTCACATTAATTACTTACAAAGCAGTCAACCTCAACAAAGACATCCATAAAAATGCATTACAGAGGAAGCAGTTATAGAAGACGATGTGATGATAAATATTTAAATTCAATTTGTCGAAAGTAATAATTTGATAGTGAAATTTAAGACACACATTTCATTGGATTCGGGTCTCGTCAGTTGGATGTACCGAAATCCTAGTGATTGATGGTGCTCTTATTGAAACTTGAACTCAGCACTAATTACCTCGCTGTTTTGGGCAGGATCGACTACATCGATCAAGCAAACATGTTATGAGTAATTTGATGATAATAAGAAAATGATGCCTAATCTGAAGTTATATAAAACTTAGAATCGGAACGCAGTCATATTCTTAAAGAACAGTACAGTACACTCTCACAAACGTGTGCGTCAATCAAACTACTTACTTGTTATTGATTAGCAAGTGCATTTACAAAGTGTGTGACGGTGACTTTCAATTTGAGTAATTGAAAGGAACAGCTTTCGCTATTTAACATTATCTAGACCAGATGAATAATACAGTAGATACTTGCAAAATTTCCACCTTGGAAATGACTTTCTCCACATAATCTCTCACATTGTAGGTTCATAGCAGCTCCTTGATACTTGGAATTTCTCGTTGTTAAACTGGGTTGGCAGATGGGCTCCTGTGCCAATGTTTCGATTCTGCTGGATTATTCATCATGTATTTTCGAAATAGAATGTGAATAAGATACTGTAACTAGACCAACTCATTTAAAATGTCTACTTCGAAAAACTTGTCTGAATGTAGTGTGAGCAATGGTTAGAGAAAGAAACAACGGTGAAAAATGACGAGGGATTAGCTTTTGGTTTATAGCAGCCAAGGAAGGATTAATCCCTCACCGTGTTACTTTCGAATGCAACACTCAGGCTTGGTCAATCTTATGTATGAATAACGTCATCTAATTCGTCTTTAAGTACTATTTGCACATGCTCTAACTTGTATAGGTTTGATTCTATGAGGAAAAGACTTTCATAAGGTAATCAAAGGTGAAAAAAATATTTTCTTTCATCTCCAAAGACAGTCGGTGGTAGATTGTCACTCCGTATGAAATACATTTTCTACGGCAAACATGAGTTGGTTAGATTACTGATGTTTCTGGAGCTGGATGGATGCATCATATTACCGCAGCAAGACTATTATAAGAGCCGGTTGATGATGAAAATTATAAGGCTGCTTTCAACGAGAAGTTCGTCAGAGGGCTACTCGAATAAGACAACGTCACATATTCTGAAGAAGCCTCAAGATTACTTGAAAAACAAGGTTAGACGCTGTAACAACTTCTCAGTATGTGGTGGGAATGAGCTAGTGGATCTGAGCAGAGAAGCTGTGTGGATCCAGAAATAGTCTCATTTGCTGGTAGAAGGATTTCTTCTCATCGGTGGAAGATTTAACTACTCAGAAATCATATCTCTAAAGTACATCGCGAAGTTGATTCTCCCAACCTGATGGCCAGATTGCCAAGTGATTGATAGAATTCGATCAGCACTTGGAACTAGTCAACATGGCGCTAGTTACTCTTCAGTAACCAATCAATGCACCATCCACCCCTATTCAAAGTTTCGGCTTTTCTCAATCGACTATCACAAATCGTATAGTACGAAAGCTGAAACGAAAGGAAATCTATTAGTTGATTATGTTGTATTATATTTTGTTAAGTAAATAATTATGCACAGAATGCTTGAGAAAAGAACAGTTTTAAGGAGCACGATATCCGATTGTAGCACAAGCCAACCTGGCGCCTGAATTACCAGTTGTTCGACTTCCTGTATCTGGAAATATTCTAAGATCATCAGTCTTTTGGTGTATAACTAGAGCACGCCCAATAAATCCGTTGTATGGTCCAAGTCCGTATAAGCTAACCCATAGATCGAAATGCATTACACCATTTCCATCAACTGGAATATTTACCAAATCACCTGCATGTCTAGGATGACCTGTACGTCCTCCATGACGTCTGTTTTTTAGAATAATAAAAATGTAGTTTGTTACATGAGAAAACAGTTTCTAAATGTTAACTAAACTAACCAATAAACCACATTTCATGTAACTTAAAATGTAATTGCAATTTTGCTGATTTTGCTCGGCATGTCATCAAGATTCATATACACTTGTGACATGCATATTCCATAATACACTGGCACGGATTATTACTTACCACATAGGTAAGCAAAGGCATCTTACAAGCATATAATAACATGCATATGTACATTTTATAACAGAGAATTCCTAACGTATATTTATTCTACTTTATAAGGTGCTTCAAAATTGTCAACTACTTCAATACATACATTTATCAACTACTGCCTTGTAACGTTTTTTCTAGGTACTACTTAAAAAACTATCTGAAACATTGGTATTAATGCGTGCATGAGTCATGGAAAGTAAAAGGTGATACGTATTTCATTTCGAACAGATGTAGCTCACACGATGAACTGAAATGTTATGAAATCAATATTATTTTAGAATGTACATCACATAAAAATATGGCAAGATGCATGCTTACGAATCGGACACAAAGATCATGTCTTCTCACGAGAGTAGAAATACTATCTTCTAGATGAAGGATGAGCTGATGATCATTAAAAATGATGTGAAATTTAAAAGGCTATGAAGTTGTAGTCTCCGTTGTATGCAAGCGTGGATATTATCTGGTATTTAGAGACTTGTAAAGTCTGTAGATAATAGTGACAAGCATTCTTCCTATGCCATATTGCTGCTTGGGTTTTGGTAGTTCAAAGTCAATGCAGCTGGTCACCAGAAATAGCGAACTGAGTGGTTTGCATTCAGATTTAATTAAAGGGGTAATCTATAATTGTAAACTGAATTTTGGAGTGTTCGGTGCACACATGAAGTTAAGTTTCCTTAACCGTCTCTGTTTCCAACCATGTATTTTAAAAGAATGATAAATTGATTTTGAAAATTGCTTAAACAAATCAGCTGTAACATCAAATTATATCCATCACGCAAGAGATGGCCATCATGTATTCACAGCTTGATAGAAAACACTCAGGTGTTTCAAATGATGGCTGCCGAGATTGAGCCCCATGGGAATAGCTGTCTCATCACTAGTTAGGGCTGCCTCCCGCTTGCATCCAACCGACTAACAACATTCCATTTAACTCCACATTCATTCACTCGTATATTAAGTCAGCATTCATGCTGATTGAGTAGCAGTGAACTTAGAAGTCGAGCACACCTAATTCCACTGAATTAGTTGAAGGCTGTTCTAAAGAAAGGTAAATGGGAAATTAGTGAATACCTACTGCTTGAAGGGGTTAAAATGTGGTCCAGCTTCAAGACACATGTTTCCGAGACCTCCGTATTGATGAATGTGTACACCCAGTAGTTTGCCACGTGGAAGCCCGGAAACACTGCCATTCAGGTACATATATTTTCCTCGAGGTGTAAACCATACAGAACCTGGGTTTGAACTCTTCACAAAGCTTGCAATAGCCAGATCAAATCGATATCGTCGGCGACCCCACCATGGATCTGAAGCAGTAAGAATATGACATTGAGGCAATAGTTTGTTTCAACCTAGAGTGAGCTAGCAAGTTGCACGGACTCTGCTTACTTTTCAAAAGTGTTCTATATGAAATGAACTGATGATTCCAGTTGTTAAAAAATGTTCACATTGAAATTTCGTTCAAGATTTACTGTACTTATTATGCAGTTGGTTACCTGTATGCAATATAACATTATGTAGTAGACTTTGTAAAAGGCTAATTTGTTACTCTCCAGGAAAACCAAGTGCATAATGTAGATCAAAAGTAATCATGGGGGTAACAATCACTGTGCTCTGAAACCATTTGTTCTTCTAAATTTCTTCTCTAGGCCAATATAGTTACTGTGCACAGTGGTGACTCTCATGTTATATGCTATATCAGTTTCCTGTATTTGGAGAATGAAATTCTGTGACCACAGAGAGTGTTTGAGACTTTAAATGAACAGTTAAGTCTACTGTAAGTGACAATATTTGAGTTTAATATTGGAGTAAAAGTTAGGCACAGTGGTACATTGTAATTCCATTTTGATTTCATTTCTAATGGACATGTTAAAATGGAAAATCTGAGTTTAATTAGAATTTGGGTGTGAATTTAGATTTACAGTGCTTTGAGAGTATAAAAAACTGAAGTCATCTATTTCCTAGTTACTACCATAGCACGCGGAAGATGACTTGCTTAGACAGGCAATAAGTTTTCTGCTGTATAATACAAAGGTGGCATTCTTTCCTAACGGGTTGGAGAAGATTAACCCGCCTGGCTGCAAACAGGTGCGAGTGGATCGATCAGAAGTGCAATAATTGAACACCTTGTCAACACTGGTCACACTGTTACAACTGCTTCTGCGTTCAAAGTCATTTACAGAGTAGAAAGAAACCTACCAGATATTCTTGCATTGCCAAATAATATGTGCTGCAGGAGGTCTTGCTATATGCATGGAGAAAATGGAGTTATGTGTACAAAAGAAACTTGTACAACCTGAGTTGCTACCGAGGACTTTGGAAATTGCTAATTACAAGTCAACCCATTTCTCTCTCATAATCATTCACAGTTTTGTTGCATTTTGTATATTTTAATTCTGAGGTAGTATTTACCACGAACTGACATCAGTCGGAGAAACAATGGAAACCTAAGTGCACTGGACAGCTGTTTCCTTCTAGTATGGGACTTCTTAGCAGTGTGCACCCACGACCCGACTAAGGACCGAACTCATGAACTTCTTGTTTCATGGTGAACGCGTTAACTATTCAGTCACTGGGTGGGAGATCGGTGGTTACGGGTTTCCAATTTCTCTCAATTAGGGATCTAGCGTGACTGTCACCCAAGGCTTTCAGTTGCCATCCACTTCCGTCCCGTGCCGCTGGGGAGTCCCATACTAGGACACTGCAGCTGTACAGTGTTGCCAGCTCCTTAAAGACACTCCAACTGGTTTCAGTCCATTATGAATACTACCTCAGAATTAAAATCCTTATTCACCTCAAAATACATATATTTTAATAACCCAAAATTGTCCTCATTTCATTTCCATGCTTCTCTTGATCATGCTTCATCTTGAAAATCATTTTCACATGTTATGCAAATTTATATTATATCCAGCGGTTCAGCGAAATTGGCGCGTCACGAAAAGCATTTCCCCCAAGACGCGGGTGATGAAGATACCCAACCAACAACAACAACAACATCAACATCAACAAGCACCAATCAGCATGAACGGGAGAAACCTAAAGGAAGCAGTTGCGTTCACCTACCTGGGCAAAGTAGCATCGTTTCAACTAAAGGCGGCACACACACACATGACGACGTTAATGCCAGGATCTGGAAGACAGCAAGACAGGCCTACATCAATCTGAAATCAGTGTGGAGATCTACTGCACTGCACTGCACTCTACTCCACTCCACTCAACTCCACTCAACTCCACTCAACTCAACTCAACTCTACTACACTACACTCAGCATAAAGTGTGAACATGATCTGGATTTTCAACACTAAGTCGGTCAAGTCAGTGCTTCTACACGGGTGGTTCAGAAAACTGGCGCGTCACGAAAAGCATTTCCAACAAACTACAGACATTCATCAACAGCTGCCACCTACGCTCATTCGATACTGAAGATCAGATCAGATGGCCAGAATAATAGGAACAAGCAACAAGGAACTCTGACTGGCTGACAACTTACCAACCAAGAATCCATCACCGAACAAATATGCAGAAGGAAGTGTACATTGGTTGGATTGGACATACACTGGGAAGACAATTTGTGGATTTCAGGCTCCAAGCTCTCGAGTTGAAGCCATCTAGGGAACGACGAGTTGAGTATATGAGGTGAGGTTGACATGGAGGAGATGGTGTGATGAAGAAATGAAAGCTTGTGGGTAGTCGTGGAGCCAGGTTAAGAAGACTTCAGAGAACAGAATGGAATGGAGGCGTGCTGTTTAAGCCCTATGTTCTACTAGGAACTCAATGGATAATGGATAATAATAATAATAATAATAATAATAATAATAATAATAATAATAATAATAAAATTCTGTCCCCATTTCATTTCCATGATTCTCTTGATCATGCTTTATCTTGAAATTCATTTCCACATTTTATGCAAATTTATATTATATCCAGTTTGTTATGTTGGTATCCACTCTCTTTTGTGATTACGTTTCACCTTACATCACACATATGAACGTTTAATCTTCATTCGTCTTGATCTTTCCTCCTAATTACAATTAAATATTTCTGTTAACTATCCAATATAGCTAGACAAAAGTGTATAAGTTGTGACTGCACAGCTGTGAGAAGTGAAATCACTGAAAGAAATTTCTTCACTAAATCTATTGTTTTCGCTGACTTAAAACTAGCCATCAGTACATACATACATACATGTATATACACTTCAACCTTATTAGGTCCTCTGAGATATAATGTGAAAGATGTTCCAGTAATGGAATACCTTTGTTCTTCTGAAGTACAGGTACCATTTTCAAAAGATCATAAGAATTGCTTTGACAGAAAGAGGAGTCTCATTTTCAGTAAGCCTTTCACAATGAGAATTCCATTTGTCATCTGACTACTTAAAAGTACCATTCCTTACACACAATGGTACATATAAAAGGTCAGATGAATGCTTTAAAGTGCATATATTGGACACATCGACGCGCAGTTCCAGTGAATAACCTTCTTCAGATGATACCTCCGCCTACTTTTGCTTAGTTTAGTGTGCACATTATTACATTTCAGAGGAAAGATTTCGTCAACCAATATGAAAATTAGAAGTAGATATGTTGTTTTCATAATCAGAATGAACAGAAAGTCCTCTCCGTTTCGGCTATGAGAAACCAGTTTAGATGAAGCAGAATTGTGCATTAGTGTACATGCTATTTCATAACTTGATTGTATTAATTAAAAAGCTTACACGTTTAATATACTTGGTTTAAGGTGGTTGTTGAGACTGAGAACACAATTTTCATTTGTCCTCAAAATAAAATATGATGGTATTGAGAAGCCAAACAATTGCTCCTTCTCATAATATACAAAATATATAACATATTATACATATATATTTAAAATATACAAAAGTTATGGAAGCGGTTCATGTGTTTTCCTGCATCAGAATCTTTGAAGAAGGGTGTCGAAATCTTTCACACCTATATTTCAGTGATAAATTTACTTGTATAACATGATATAACTGCCAATCAAGTTATTTATTAGCTTACCCTTGTTGCGATAACCATAACCAGGACAATTGCTGGAAAGAATAATGTAGAATACAAGTAGACAACTGAATGCTTTCATACGTAATTCTACACTATAGAGGTTATTACGTGAAGTGTATTTTGCATATTTATATGAGCTTTTGCACCAACAGTGCAACAAACTGATGCACTTTCGATTTCCATCATCATTACAAATATTGTCATTATTGTTTTGGCTACTTATTCACAGAATATTCGTAATCTTCAGTTTTAAACAAATCATGGAATTACTTTTGACTGACTCAGCCAATCAACAAATCTGTTTGAAGCATCCAAAATGAAATGCACTCATTCTAAACTAAGCTTGGTAGGGGTTGTGAATGGCAGTGAACTTATTCATGCATTTTATTGCTTGCACTCAGACGTGTTACGCAATCCACTACTCATATGTTTGGTAAGTAGTAGTTTGCTTTCAACCGACTCAACTGTGGTATGTCAGTTTGACGCCATTGCAGTAAGGAGAATTCAGGTAGATTGGGGAATTTACAAAATAGTGTTTAATCACCGTTCATTGAACTGTCTGTGTTTGAAAAATTAAGGTCTACAATTTGTTAAGAGACGAGCCTTTTCCTGCTTGTTTAGCCCATTTCATCGATCTCCATATTTTTCCATCTGTCAATATTACGTAAATGTTTACTATAAACACGCATCCACTTGCTCCAAGTTCCTTACTTTTCACGGTAGTTGTTATGCAGTCAGCGAATCAAGTGAACTGAATCCATAGTGAAAAAATAAAAGCCTGTAATTTACATCACTCAAATCTTAGTAGTTTTTTTCAATAAAAGTGCCTAACAAGATTATTTTACTAAACTGAACACAGAAACTTTGGAATTAGGCAGTTAGCGGCAGATACCATCTGATAAATAGACCCTTATGACTTGCTTACCATTACTCAATATGGAAGCTTTAGCGCATAAACATTTTAGACGCGTTGTAGGTTATAAGCAGATAGATTTTTCTGCATACGCAAGATGTTCCCATATGGTTATAGTTGAGAAATGAAAGTTCAGTGTGTGAAATAGGTGACAGATTCTTGATTTAACCTCAATAGTATTTTAATTATTTGCTTTCTAATCGTAACCTTCGTGTATGATATTGATGAATTCTACGGAATCGTATTGCATTCAGCTGTCATGAAAGCTTAAGTGATGACTACATTGCTTAATAATTGTTAATAATCATCTGTGATTCACTCCATCTTCAATTGCCTAGTTGTATTTCTTTGCCAATGTCAAATGTCTCGACGCAATTCATTCATATATCTTGACCTTTCGAAACAGAAGTCTGAAGAATTCATTGTTAAGACGTTAAGCATGTACAAATTGATATTCCCCGAGTCATGCTAACAACTGCTGTTGTAACCAATCGATTTTCGCTATTTTGTCTGGGAAGGTGGTTATTCAGAAAGTGAAGAAATGTAAATGGTTATTTCAGAAGTTGTTGGAGTGCCCTCTAAATCTACTCATATTTCCTTTAAAGGAAGTAAATGACATACAGTTTTTCCTCTCCTCGTATACAGTAAATAGAATTACTTAGCCAGCAGCGAATAATGGAAGTAGTTTACAAAGCTATGAGGAATCACTTCATGTGGTTTTAAAACAACCACAGTAGTCCATGAATTCAACCTTTAAAATCTTCGTTGATTGGAACACACTTTTCGTGTCAACAGGAGATGTCGAAACACTTTGAGCTTGATATCTGCAGAAGAAAATGTAGTCAGACACACTGTCTTTAAGAAAGGGGAGATCCCCAGAAGTTTCCTTCACTTTCAAAATTTGATACCAAATCAGTTCCCAGTGGACTGAAAAGGTAAACAATTAAAAAATATAGTGCACGCAGAATCATTTGTAAAGAGTTCATTCAAATACTGGCAAAGAACTTGTCAAGGATATTCTTATCTTGAGACTCACTCATCCAATTCATCTTACAAATACCAAGTAACCGTAGGAATCTTGGATAAGCATATGCCCCTGGGGGAAAATGTAGTCTCGAGAAGTGTTGGACCGTCACGGTTACATTGTATTCCGTTCAATGTTACACCATTTTTACTCAGTGGAGAACAATGAAATCGTTCAATTCATTATTTTTCTGATAGCTGACATTGTCGATGTTATGGATTTGATTCAAGAGATGATTTGCATTGAACCTCAGTTTAATTTACTCTTCACTTACACTTAGTCACATTAATTACTTACAAAGCAGTCAACCTCAACAAAGACATCCATAAAAATGCATTACAGAGGAAGCAGTTATAGAAGACGATGTGATGATAAATATTTAAATTCAATTTGTCGAAAGTAATAATTTGATAGTGAAATTTAAGACACACATTTCATTGGATTCGGGTCTCGTCAGTTGGATGTACCGAAATCCTAGTGATTGATGGTGCTCTTATTGAAACTTGAACTCAGCACTAATTACCTCGCTGTTTTGGGCAGGATCGACTACATCGATCAAGCAAACATGTTATGAGTAATTTGATGATAATAAGAAAATGATGCCTAATCTGAAGTTATATAAAACTTAGAATCGGAACGCAGTCATATTCTTAAAGAACAGTACAGTACACTCTCATAAACGTGTGCGTCAATCAAACTACTTACTTGTTATTGATTAGCAAGTGCATTTACAAAGTGTGTGACGGTGACTTTCAATTTGAGTAATTGAAAGGAACAGCTTTCGCTATTTAACATTATCTAGACCAGATGAATAATACAGTAGATACTTGCAAAATTTCCACCTTGGAAATGACTTTCTCCACATAATCTCTCACATTGTAGGTTCATAGCAGCTCCTTGATACTTGGAATTTCTCGTTGTTAAACTGGGTTGGCAGATGGGCTCCTGTGCCAATGTTTCGATTCTGCTGGATTATTCATCATGTATTTTCGAAATAGAATGTGAATAAGATACTGTAACTAGACCAACTCATTTAAAATGTCTACTTCGAAAAACTTGTCTGAATGTAGTGTGAGCAATGGTTAGAGAAAGAAACAACGGTGAAAAATGACGAGGGGATTAGCTTTTGGTTTATAGCAGCCAAGGAAGGATTAATCCCTCACCGTGTTACTTTCGAATGCAACACTCAGGCTCGTTGAATGCAATCGCCTCAGTTTCAGCTATGTATGGGATGTATCGGTGGGCTGTTTACATGTTTTCATGATTTCGGAAGACGGTGTGTGGAGGTATATGCTGTGCTACTGGCATTTGCATGGTTTGTTATAACTGCTAGTTGTTATAAGATAGAATTCATCATCTCTTTAATTCCACGCTATCTAAACCAATCCGTCAACTGTTATCGTATTTGGAAATACATCTGCCAATTATACGCCCTACGTAACTTACTTCAAAGCATCAGTTTATTTGAGTACCGTGTGAGGTATATTCAAGTCTCGAAATGAGTAGAAGACGACTACTTAAACATGTCCAAAATGGACCTCAGAAAAACCTCCCGATTGTTACTGTAGTTAATAAAGTAAATATATTTGCGAAATGCCAGTTAGCTGGAAAAATATGTTTTTCACCTTTGATTACCTTGTGAAAGCCTTTTCTTCAGAGAATCAAACCTATACAAGTTATAGCATGTACAAATAGTATGTAAAGACGAATTAGGTCACGTTATTCATGCATGATAGTAATATGGAACAGATGTACAAAAGTGCACAAACACATGTTAACAAAGTGAATGCGTGACTGTGAAGGCCATCCTAGCAACTGCTGAAATAACCAACTACGCTGCCTCATTCTAAGGGAATCTAATATCCCAAACGAAGTAGCGAAATCTTATTGGTTGTTTGACAAGTTGTCAAGGTGACCTTCGAATTCACTCAGCTGAACATCACACATCTATTTACTTTTCTTGCACCTTCATACCCATTCACACGTGAACACACATAAATATCTTCGTCCCGAACTTACAGACTGGTATCTGGTAACGATAACATTTATTCCCATATTATTATCATACGTGAACAATGTGATCTGGTTCGTCTTCATGCACTGTTTGAGCGTGCAGTAACTTGTACAGATTTTATTCTCTGTAGAAGTGGCTCAGTTCGGATAAGAACAGCCCGTTTGGCATTTGCCAACTTACATCAACTGTGGGATCATTTGACAAGATATCTGACTATCTATCGATTGACGAGTACACTGTGCCACAGTTCGTTCCGCCCTGTTGTCCGGCTGTGAGACATGACTGTTAAAACATGAGATATAAAGCATTTACATGGTTTCGATTGTAGGTGTCTTCGCGGCATTACTCGCGTTGGTTAAAATCACCATATGAGCAATATTGTCGTTGGGCGAAGGGTACTAGGCAAGACAGGCTAGTCGATTGATGAGGTTGTCAACCTTCATCGACTGAGATGACTGTGACACGTACTGCGCATGCGCAACCAACACCTACCTCGATACCTCATACTGGGGGAAGTTGTATTCGGTTGGAAGAGGGTTTAGAGTGTCCAGAACAAGATTTGACAAGAGTCGATGGAGTCTCTGACTGTTGGTGTGAGCCGTGTGCTGAGTTGTAGGCTGCGTGGCTGGTGTCTGCTAGAGGATCGAAATCAGTGGTTGAGGACTCCTAATAACATGGCTGAAAATCGGTCATAGTGGTGTAGAAGCATACTCTCTTTGACGTCTTCAAAAGCTTCTGAAGCAAGAACCTTTATCTTCAGATTGTCTATTCTCTCACACAACCTTGTCTACTTTGAAATCACTCGATTACCATCCAACTGTTCTTTGTACACCACTGCGAAACGTGGCGACTTGAACCAATGCAATTGTCTGAGAGGTTCCTTACATTGATTGTGTCTTTCTGTCTCTCCAAAGGGGCTTCCATCTGGCCAAATCGTCAGAAACTTAACTTGCTACTTCAATGGGACTTCCTTTCTTAAACCGTCTACTCAAAGCTTAAGTTATTCATTTCTATCAAGTCAAAAATCGACTCTTAACACGCTGTAGTTAGGTTTCACGAAACCATGTCTCCCGGAGTGCCTTCCATGTGTTGTAGACACAGTAACAGAGGTTTCTTATGCTCTGCCAT